TATATATATATATACATATACATATACATATGTATGTATGTATGTATATATATATATATATATATAAATTGCGATGGAGCTCTGGTAGGGTTCGGGTTTCCTGGCCTGGAGGTGATTTCGGGATGCTGACGGTGTTTCTTCTCTCTCGTCTGCTGGATATTGGTGAGATATTTCCATTTGTTTTCTTGCTTTGGCTTCTCCTTCGAGCTCGTCTCCTGCTCCTCATTTTTTTTGGTTTTTGTTGTCAATGGCAACAACTTATGCCGGAGTCACTGTTGGGGGCTCCTCCTCCGATGCTGCTCCAAAGTTCGCATTTTCCTTCTTCCTTTCATGACTCTTTGATTCTTGGTGGGGAGTACAATTTCATAAAGAAACAGGGAAAGAAGGGGGTAAGTTTGTGCTCTTCCTCTCGGACTCTAAAAACACCATTCTGGCCTCTGCTTGTCGTTTCCATATGGTGGGTAAGTTTCTCTATGGGCTACCAAAATTTGATTTTCTTCTTAAACTTTTCGAGCTTTTAAATTTGGCTTGGGGCTGGAAGATTGGTGCTCTTGATAGTAGGCATATACTGATTCGGTTGTCTAATGAGGAAGACTACGCTAAACTCTTTGCTCGTAAAACTATTCGTTTTGAGAATGTTTTGATGAAAGTCCTAAAATGGACTACTGATTTCGATCCTCGGGCTGAGTTTCCTATTATTCCTGTTTGGCTTCGTCTACCTGGTTTAAAAGTGCATATGTTCCACCACGAGATTTTATTCTCAATCACTGTCATGTTTGGTAAACCGCTAATATTAGATGCTCCGACTTTCAACTTAACAAGGCCTTCTATGCAAGAATTTTAATTAAAAGAGATGTTACTTTACCCCCCTGAGGAGGTTTTGATAGGTTCTACACATATTGGTTACTGGCAACAGGTTTTTCTTAAGAAACATCCTCACCACTGCTCCCATTGCCGCATGTTTGGACATGATTTGGTGCATTGTTTTCACCTGCATCCTGAAATAAGGAAAAATAGTGCGGGTCGTTCGACCTCTGCTGAGATTAAGTCTACTCAGAGAACACCTCCTGCGATTGAACAAATTGCCCCTTGCTTGGAGGGGAATAGTGTTGTGCAACATGGTACCGTGAGCATGATGGCCCTCTAAACAATGAGAGGTTTGAAGCCACAGTGGAACGGGTTTCTGATACACAAAGTCCACACCATCTCAACATCTGCCATCTTCAACTATGGGCGCTGAGTTATTGGTTGAGCAGGACATTGAATTACTTATTGCTAATACTTTCCCTGGGGAATTACCAATTGTGGAAACTCCCCAAACCGTTACAACTCAACACCCCCCCTACTATGCACTCTATTACTACACAAATTGACCAGGTTGCTGAGGCTACTTTAGCCTTAGATTCTGAATGGAGTATCCAAAAATACAGTAGGAAAAGAGGAAGAAGGAAGTCTGACATTTCTAATATGAAAACTTCAAGCAATACTGATGTCATTTACCATTCTGAGGGAGAGCACTTGCACCTTCCCCTGGGATCACTAGGAGGGGTGCTTTAAGCCAACATGATTAGCATATCATAGCATATTAGTGTGGAACATTAGGGGAGTGGCGGACCCCCACCCCATTAATTGTTTAAAATATTTATGCAGGGTCCATAAGCCGGGCATTTTTGCAATTTGGAGCCGCTGGTGTCTGTCCATAAGGATGGTATTATTAAAAAATTTAAAAACTATATGCACTATAGTAATCAGAACAATAAAATCTGGATTTTTTGGAAGAATGAAATTAAATTCAGCATCATTAATGATGATTTGCAATATGTTCTTGTTCACTATACGTTGGAGGAATTTCATGGTTGGGCTACCTTCATTAATGCCAGCTCCTTATTACAGGATAAATTATTTCTTTGGTAACAACTTATACACATGAGTGCTTCTATTGTTGATAACTGGTTTGTTGGAGGTGATCTTAATATGGTTATCTCCCCTTCGGAGAAAAGGGGTGGGACTAAAGCTGATACAAATATTATCAACCGTTTTTGTAAGCATATTATTGATGTTGGGCGTTTTGATTTAGGTTTCTCGGGTACTCCTTATACTTGGAGGAGAGGCCTGCTTATGCAGAGGCTTGACAGATTTTTGGGAAACTCCTCTTTTCTAGATTATTATAATATCATTCATGTAAAACTTCTTAATCATGTTGCCTCAGATCATAATCCTATTTTGCTTAGTTTGGCTTTTCATTCTAAACATGCTCACTCTCATTTTAAATTTCTCAATGTCTGAACCTCACTCTTACATTTCTTAATATGGTTAAACAGGCTTGGAGTTCTCGGTTGTGTGACAGCCCATGGTTTATTTTGTGGCAATTGCATAAAAGTGTCTTCTCTATTGAAGAAGTGAAATTTTGATGTGTTTGGCAATGTCCACTCCAGGGTTTTGAAAGCTCAACAGGAGGTGGATGCACTGGAGTCACAGATTATCTGCACTCCTCTTATCGAAAATGTGGCTCAGGCTCGTCAAAAACTCCTAGAGGAAATCACTATTGAGGAAGATTTCCTACGGCACAAAGTCTGTGACACTCACTTTAGCAATGGTGATCGGAATACTAAATATTTCCACGCTACCATCAAGAATAGAAGGAATATTAATGTTATTCTTAAGATTGTCACATCTGAGGGTATTGTCCTTACTAATGTTGATAAAATTGACTCCAATGTTGCAGATTATTTTGCTTCTCTTTATGATGATGTTGTCCCGGTCAATGATATTGATCCGGATCTGTTTGATGCCAATAGAGAATTGGTATCGTCCCTTTTATTGTCTGGCCCTCCTTCGAAGATGGAAATTCTCTCCTCTCAAAGATATTTACTCCCAAAAAGCTCCTGAACCTGATGGTTTTACTTCTGCTTTCTATATTTATTGTTGGGACATCATAAAAAATGAGGAAATTGTAGCCCTTCAAAGTTTTTTTCAAGGAGAAAATCCTGGTAAGTACTTTACTGCTGCCTTGATTGTGCATATCCCTAAATCCACGGATAAATTGTCTGGAAGAATTTCAGGCCTCTCTCTAAGATCATAAGTAAATTGATTGTGGCTCGTGCACAACCTCATCTTCCCTCTCTCATTTCTCCACATCAATCGACTTTTGTTAAAAGCTGTGATATTTCTGATAATATTTTGTTAGCCCAAGAAATTATTGAAAATCTTGATAGAAAATGCAGGGGTGGAAACTTAGTTATAAAACTAGATATCAAAAAAGTCTTTGATACCATTAGCTGGGATTTCATTATTAATGTCTTGGTGGCCAGAGTTTTTAGTTCTAACTTTTGCATGCTAATTAAAAGATGGTTGACCAATAATCATTACGGTGTGCTTGTTAATGACAATTTTTATGATTTTTTCTCCGCTAAAAGGGGTATTAAACAAGGGGACACTCTCTCCCCTATTATTTTCATCATTGCCTTTGATTACTTATCTAGATTACTCAATCGTTTTCAATTGCTCTACCCTCACACACAATTCTCTCATAAGGCTAAAACTATGGTCTCCCACCTTGTTTATGCTGATAATGTTATTATTTTTGCGAATGCATCTAAACTTGCTATCAAAATATTAATGATGCTCTTAAATAATTTTCAGAATTGTTTTGGTTTGACTTTTAACTGTGACAAATGTAAGTTGTTTTTTGGCAAGCATGTTAAACATTATATTGCTAATTGGGGGGCTTCTTTCACTGGTTATCATCATGCCTCCCTCTCTTTAAAGTATCTTGGGGTAAATCTTATTAGGGGAAGGAAAAAGCAGATTCAGATTGATGATGTCATTGACAAAATTAAACATAAGATTAATGATTGGAGGAATGTCTTTATATCTACTGGGGGTAGAATTACTTTGCTTTCGAGTGTGCTTCAAAGTGTTTCTCTCTATGCTTTACAGGTGTTCAATCCGAAGAAGAGTGTCATTAAAGTTATGGAAATGTTTTTTAATAAATTCCTATGGGGGGAGTGGTGCTAAGAAGATTTGGGTTTCTTGGCATAGGATGTGCAAACCTAAAAATGCTGGGGGTTTTGGTTTCAAAGCTTTACAACATACTGTTAAGGTTAATCTTTGCAAGCTTTGGTTTAAATTTAGAGAGGGCTCTTCTCTCTGGGCCTCTTTTATGCATCAAAAATATTGTGCCACTTCCCACCCTTCCCAGGTTTTGTGGAAGTTAGGTGACTCTAGGATCTGGAAGACCATTTTGAATGCCAGATCCATTGCTAGAGACTTTTATGTTTTGGGATATTGGTGATGGAAACATCTCTTTCTGGAATGATAATTGGGGAATGCCTTCCCTATCTGAGCACACTCATTCATCTCATACAAACAATTTGCTTGTTTTTTGTCTCTTTTCTCAAGAAAGTTAGGATTTTACTAATCTATGTTCTCTGGCTAAGCTATGTTCTCTGATGGGGGAGTTGAATGCTAATTATATATCTAATATTCCTACTACCCCTTCCCGCAGAGATTATCCTGTTTAGAAGAAGTCTTCTTCGCAGTCGGTCTGTAAGTTGATATATGACACTTTACACTCATCCTGATTGGTTTTGGAGAAATTGGATTTGGCATAAACTCTTTACTCCCTCTATCTCCTTTTTCCTCTGGCACTATTTCTCCTCCTTACTTACTCTTGATGACATTCTGAAACTGAAAGGTTTAAGACTGGCATCAAGATGTCCTCTGTGCAAAATTTCGGAGGAAGGCTTAAGACATATTTTTTGAATGTCCTTTTTCAATGGATGTCTGGAATATTTTGGGTTTACATTTTGGTATCCCCTGGACCCATAGGGGCACTTTAATTACCTATTTGTGAGAGTAGAAGGCTTACGCCGATGACGAGGGAAGGCGTCTTTCCCTCCCTCTGCTGGTCCTTTGGTTCTTTGGGCTGCCAGAAATAGCCATAAATACATTTCCTCCACCCCAACTGTCGTTATTACTACTTCCTATATTCTAGTCTATTACTCTAAGGCCCTAAGGGCCTCTACTAATGTTGCTCCCTATGGTATGAGAGCTAGGCCCCCTCGTTTAGTCAGCTAGACACCCCCTCCTCCTGGCTAGGTGAAAGTTATTGTCAATGGCAACTAGAATGAGCTTTTTGCTGCTGTTGGTGGCCTTTTTAGAAATTTTGAGGGGCATTTTTTGGGCTATTTTACTTCTCATGTTGCCGCTAATACTCCCTTAGCTACGAAATGTTGGGGGTATATCTTGCTTTAAATTTTCATACTATTATTGTTGAAACAGACTCAAAACTACTTTATAAGATTTTACTGGGTGTCTCTTCACCTCTCTGGGACATTATTTGTACCCTCAAACGTATTCAAGCTTTAATAGTGATGTCGGTGAGTGGGATCTCCGTCGACAGAGAGGGCCCCCCCCCTGCCGATTGGTTAACCAGGCAAGCAGGGGGAGTGTGCACTGTTGGTTTATCCCCCCTACACCCCTCCGGCTTTTACTTACTCGGGACTCATTAAATTTGCCTTATATTAGAACTTAGAAAATTTTTATGCACAGCTCTCTGGTTTGGTTTTTCTACTTCATCTCTACGTTTTATCTGCACCCTCCCTTTGCTGCTCTCTATGTTCTGGCAGGTCAGAACGCCTTCTTTTCTTCTCTGCTAGACTTTTTTTGCTTGTGGATCAGTTTCCTTGGTGGCAGAACCGCTGGCTTGGAGCGTTCTATCTGTTGTTTTGTTGGCTTGGAGAGATTTGGAGTTTTTATCTGATGCCAGATTTTGGTTTTTCTCAAATGTTTTACCTATTTTTGTTTTGCATTCGCACAGGTATATTTGTTTTGGGTTTTGTTTTTTTGGCTTGGCTATACTTGTAATTTTCGGGTTTGATTTGGTGTGGGTTGTACTGTGGGAGGAGGAACCCTTAGAGGTGAGTTTTTTCAATATATTTTTTTGGATTTTTAGGCGGGGATCCTCCTCCCCTCCCCTTCTTATACTTTTTCTTTATATTAACACATAGAGAGTCACTCTTGCTCTTTCCCCAAACAAAAAAAATAATATATATATATATAGTTCACTGAGAGAGAGAGAGAGAGAGAGAGAGAGAGAGAGAGAACATGGTGGAGATAAGACTGGGCTCCATCCGCAGACATTGTATTGGAAAAATTGTGTTGCTTATGTCAGCCAGATTGTAATTGTTTATCAAATCTTCCATGTGATAGATATGCATAAACATATAATCTCTCTCTATCTCATCTTTCTCTATCCACTCATTACGATGTGGAAGATAAGTAGGTGACAGAGAAGCAGCCATGAAAAGTAAACGGTGCTAAACTAACTCCTAAAGAAGCTTTTAATCTGTTTCTTTCCCATAAGCCAAATTCTTTCTAATATATTGTACAATTTGAAGGATTTTATGGCCAGAAAAAGATAGTAATGTGACCCAAAAAAAACCATATTTTCAATTGTTAAGAGAAGCGGCGGTTGTCCAATCTTCAAATATTTGATTGAATGATGTTATTTCAAGTATCAAAATGTAGATTAAAGATTACAACTTTTGGAAAAATAATTAATCATGCAGATCATTGTCTCCTAGTCAAATAAATAACGCAGCCCAAGCAAAGCACTCTTAAAACAACAAAAATGGGCTGTAGATGTCATGGAAGTCAAAATTCCAAGATTCTCTTGATGAAATCCATCTTGCAGCTGTTGTAACAGTAGTCCCAAGAGAAGCCCAAGCTATCAATGCTTGCAGATAAAATGTATGTAATAGTTAATCAGTTTACTAGTAACACTAAAGGAGATAGAACTTATATTGATTTCTTTAAATCTTTTCGAACATGTTGAACTATGAATCCGATAGATTAACATTAGAGAGTGAAATTCTTACTTTTAGAAGAATAGGGGAATACCAATGCTGCCTTCATTATCGAATGGAACAATGCGCCAGCACAATCAGCATGTGACATATGATATGACAATCTGAAAAAAAAGAACATATACAAAAAATCTTACCATTGCGCTCAAGGAACAATAATATAAAAAAAAGCACCTTGAATGAAATTTGAACGTTTGTCAATAAATGTATATTTTGCATATGGGGTAAAGTGTATTGTGTATTTTCTTTCGAAAAATTTTATGGATATTCTAGAAAAACAAAGTGATTATCTGACACCAAAGTTGACCCAAACCACAATAAAAATAAAATATTATTGATGAGATTCAAAAGGTTTACAAAAAATAACCCTTAACAACAGGAAAATAACAACACAAGCATAAAAGACGGGACAACCTAGGGTGAGGATGAGGGATGGCGAGTGCCGGTGAGAAGTAGAAAAGGGCAGGTTGGGGGTTTCGGGTTCAGCCGTGGGGTTGGGGAAGATGGAGTCGGCAGGTCAAAGAAGGGTAGGAGGTGACGGGGGAGAGGCTGGAGAGTTCTTGCGGCTATCGGTTGTAAGACAATCGTTTGAGAGAATAGGAAGGGTTATGGGAACGGCATGCGAAGGGAAATAGTTGCAGTAATACCTGGGATGAACAGGGCTGTAGATGGAGGCGGGTGGGGTTGATATAGGATGTGAATTGATGCTGGTGGTTGGGGAGCAGGGGCTTGGGTAGCAGGTTGAGCAGTTCGAGAGGGGAGAGAAGAGAGCGGCAGCGAGAAGCAAAGAAATGATAGCAGCAAGTTGAACTACTAGAGGATGACGATTGGAAGTTATCAAGCAGTGGAGAGGGCGACAAGGGAGCAACTAGGTCAAGGTAGTCACCACTTCGGAGTAGGATACAGCCAGAGCACCACCTGTCATCGGATACAACCCTAACAAGAGAAAAAACCTAGCAGCTAGAAATCCGAAATCAGAAAGCACCAAAAGTCTAACAACAAACAAAGCAAAGGGCCAATTTATAATAGTAGATAAGTAAGGAGAGGGAGGGGAAAAGAGGATGCAGCATTCCAGCCCTAATTAGAGCCAGCCAGTTAAGCCTTCCTAACCCAACCGGCACCAGTGGCTGAACCGGCAGCCCGATTCAGCCCCCTTGCATCACCGTGTCAGTTTCTGTTTAGCAACCCTTCAATTAAAGCTGCCTAAATTTTCCCACGTAAAGACTCAAGTAAATTGAAAATCAGAATCATCAACATCTGAAATCTATTTAATCTTATAAATGCTGACAGGTATAAAAATCTTTCTGAAAAGCTGAAAAACGAAAATAACCTTAGTGAATTGATTTCCAAAATAACGTTCTCCAAATTCACACCAGCAAGAGCTCGTTGAAAAGTTGCATCCACCTGAAGACAGATTTCACAGATAAATACTGGCTAAAATGAAAGTCAAGCTTCACTGGATTTTCATTGAAATTTAAACTCACGAGAAAGATACAGAAGAAAATTCACTGGAAGTAACTATACCTCCTTCTCAAAATCAGCAGAATCTCTATAATCTTCACCATCACCAACTGTACTCCCAGAATCAGGTAGCAATTCACCAGATGCTGGAATACTGCCCGTGTCCTGGTCTGCTGCATCAATATCAGCAAAAGAATTTGGTACTAATACTGAGAGCTTGTCTGCAGGGATTGGTGCAATTGAGTGTCTCCATTCATCTTCATTTCCTCCCTCACAGGATGACCAAATATAACCAGCTCCAGAGACGTAAAACTATAAATAAAATAATGTAACTCATTTTTATGTGTTGCTTAAATGTTGATTGAGATCATGTTCACGATTCTGACTTTAGCTCAACCAGTCAATCTCATTTTGTATGTATGTAGGTATGTATGCATGTACTTACCTATACATCTATGTATATGTATGTATGTATCTACATACATATATATATATATATATATATATATATATATATTATTTTTAACTTGAAGTCATGAGGCACAAATACATTAGCACTTGAATAATTTCTTCCTTCTTAACATTTTCAAAAATAAAACAGAATTATTTAACTGTTATATATTTTGGCCATAAACATAATTGACATCATCTATTGTGATTATTTTATATTCCCAAGCTAATCTATTAGTGTAACGCCCTTTGTTTTTTCGTAAAAATTTCCGTGCAATGCTTGCTTTACATTTTCAGGCTTTTAAGAAAAGATGAAAGGGCAAATTGAAGGAATGAAACAGAAAATAAAAATCGAGTGAGAGGAAGAAAGGAAATCAAAGGGCACCTTCATGCGTGATCTCGAGAGTGACATGGAACATCCAGCTGAGCTCAATTGCTGTGTTTGGACCGGTTTGACCCAAGTATAGCAGGGGTCCACTCCTACTTACACTAGAACTATTTATATTATTTTATCGTGTTTTAGGTTAGTTCTTAGCTTGAGTTTGTTCAGAACAGTCGTCAGCGTCTCTCTATTCCCATCTAGGGCAGTGCACCGGTTGTATCTTACTTCCAAGGTGGTGATTATCCTTTCTTTACCACTCCACATCCATCCCACATTGCTCCCCATCGCATGTCCTTGCTGCAGCAGCCCAAAACAGCAAACCGCCTGCCAGAACCAACACTCCTCCCCTCCACCATGTTGTCTCCCTCCAGAATTAGTGTTCCGCGTCTTCCACCTTGTTATCGCTTTCCAGGAACAAAGCCCTCCCCCTCCCTCCATTTTGCCACCACCCATAGCAGCCCTTCCACGCGATTTACGCTGGTTGCTTGCTATCTAGGAACCAAGGATATAACCTCCTTGTTGTTTCTGCTTGTCAATCTCCCTTGACCACCCAACCACCTTCCAAACCCTCACTAGCAGCCACCACCACCATTATTTGATACAACCATAGTAGGAGTTTGTGTTGTCATTCGTTGTAATTTCATATTTATGATTTGGTTAGTTGTAATTTCCTATTTTATTTCAGTAATAATATTTGATTTTCCAATTATTGTTGGTTAACTCCAGCCTCAAAAAGACTCCATGTTAGGCAATGACGACCAACCGTGAACCCTTTGCGTGGGTGAATTGCTTCAGCTTCCCGAAAAGCAAAGCAGAGAAGTGTGTGATGGAGATGATCAATATAAGAGGAGACGTTTTCTAGCATTCAAGGGAAAATTCGACTTCGATTCTAATACCTGAGATGATGAGGAGCTTGTACATTCATTTTGAGTGTCGAGGAAGCTTCGCCAGAGGAAGAAGCAGAGCATGAAGTGAGAGGTCGAGCATGTGACGTTGAGGCACCTTTGATGCAGAAGCAGCAACTCTAGAGTGTTAAGACTGAGTGACGCAAGTTGGGCATATATGGTGGTGCTGATTTCGAGCTTAATTGAGCAACGTTCGACATTCCCGAGTGAAACAATGAAGCGAGCAAAACGAGGCACTCATGAGTATGCATCTTGCAATTGGGCAAATACTTGAATTTTGGAGGTAGCAATAGAGAGAGAGAATGAATACATGTTCGATCATGTAAAGGAAGACGATGTAAGCTTCAAATTAGAAGAATTGAGGTCCAAAGCGACAAAATAAAAAAGAAAATTATTTGTGATCAAGATGAGTACTTTTATATTCAAGTTATACTAACATTTTTTGCTCCTTCTAACCCTACTACATGAATAGTTATATATATGGGAGGAGGGAAAAGGGATGACTGACGACTATAAAAGGAAAAGAGGGGATAGGGTGGCTGGCTGCTGGACTAAAAAGGTGGGGAGAGGGTGGCCGACAGTTTGAACAGGGAGAACGAAAATTGTGGAGGCAATCAAGGAGATAATCATCACATCGGAGCAGAATACAACCAGAGCACCACCTATTCTTGGATACAACTCTAGCAAGGGGAAACGTTGTGGCCAAAATCTGAAAAAAAAAAAGAACTAAACCCTAACTCTATAAGAAACATATTTATAAGCCCCGCATCATGAACACGTATTAAAATTTTTTAATTTTTATTGAATTATTTATTATTTTATTTTGCATGCCCTAAATTCTGTATATGGCTCGCTAAAAATTTAAAATAAACAATTATTTAAAATCCTCTAAGAATCAATCAAAACTATAAATTCTAAGCCTTTTTAGGCAATCAACAACTCAGTACAAGTTTTTAGTAAGTGATTGCAAGAAGGCGAACAATTCATGTTAATTAAGTAAAAGATGATTTACATGCATATCACTAAGTTCTTGTGTTTCACATTTAAATGTATTTATGTCATCTTACCCATGCATGAATGTATTTCACTTTTAAAAGTCAAAATAGTGATATTTTTATGTGATATAAAAGATTTGGATGGTATTAATGTAAAAGGTAAAGTTTAGGTGTTAGTTATGTAAATACATAAGAATTGGATGGTGCCCCTTAGGGTCTATTTTGGGCAGCTGCAGCTTATCTAGCTTATGCTGATAAACAGCTTATCTTGATAATCTGCTGATGACCAACTGATCCGGATAAGCTGACTGACTATTTTGTTTGTGCGTTTAAAGAACAACCGATTTTGAAAAAATTATCAATCTGCCCCTGTTCTAGATAAGCTGCAGCTATTTGGTTTGTGTTTTTTTGTAAACAACTGATTTGTAGATTTTTTTAGTTAAATGAACAATCTGGCACGTAAACTTGGTATTATTCTAAAAAAACAGCAATATCTACCATTTTGCTATTTCAGAATTAATTAACTCACTTCAGACTCACTTGACACATATAGGCCGCAAAAAATTTGATATTTACAAATTTATCAATCTTCTTAATGCAATCATAAAGGGGAGATAAAAGTGAAGATTCAATAACATGAAAATACAAAATATTCTTAAAATCTAATGTTCAAATGTTAAGACAAGAAAATACCAAATATTTATATCACTTAAATATTTTAGAACAATCACATAAGCATAGTTACCTAAACAAAAGTGAAATACACATTAACACGCTAATATGTACTATAATGAGACAAAAAAAAGAAAAAAATAACATGTTAAAATTACAAGGAAAAAATTATAATATTGACTTTAAAATGTAAAAGCATGCCACAATGCATGTTGCCCGGTTCTGACACTTCAAAACTCCAAGCAAAATTGTCGGATTGAGATATCGTAGAAATGGAAACACTCGAACCAGAAACGGTGTTCTAAAATTGTGATACTGACGAACTCCGAGCACCAGTGTCCAGTTGGGATATCATAGAAATGGATGTACTGTCGGCCCACCTAAAGAAATTGCAGTTCTCCTGTCCTTGTGTCCACCGCGGACACATGTAGAATTGTCTCTCGTAACTATGTGACTGGCGTGATGTGAGTGACAAAAACATTAATGCAGCAAAGAAGTTGTTTCTAGTGAAACCTACGAATCTTGGCAGATCAAAAACCGAGAAGTATCAAATCTGAACTAACCAAACATATGGAGTACTTGCCGTATTAAAAACAGAGAAGTTTCAAATCTTTCCGATTCTCTAACGCATCAAAAACAACATTTAGTAAGTAACTGATCATTCCAATTATTAAAACGCAAATACATCTTTCCAGCTTCAACAAAAAACTGCAAAGACCAACTATTTCTGACATTAAAATTGAATAAAATTTAGGAGTAAATGTAAAAATAAGGTATATGGAAAAACCTCAAAGATCTAAGCTACAAAGATCAAAACCAACTGCTTCACGCTTACAATACATAAACGATGTTGAGGTTTATGGATCTAACAGTAACCATGAAATCGCATACATATATAACACCAGAAAGTCACAACCGTTGCCACAAAAATCATTCTCGCAGATCAATGGAGGACGAGAGGGGGGAGGAGAAAAGAAGACGAGGAAGGAAGAAGAAATGGGAGGAGAGGGGGCACAAATTTTTTTTACCAGAATACACCTTCTTGGTAGCTAGGGCACGATCGATAGGGCGAAGAACCAGGGCAAGCGAGAGTAGTGAGCGCAGCGAAGGAAAATAGGATGTCGCAAACGCGATACACAGGCAAAACCCCGCGTTCAGTGTTTACCCTAAACAGTGAAACACGGGTTTTAAAATCGTGGGAGAAACGCATGAACCAAACACCAAGGCGGCGTTTTCAAAAACGCTGCCATACTTTTGGGGCCTTAATAAAAAAAAAACCCGGACAAGTCAGCATATGTGCAGCACATGAAAGGAAACCACAAGAAGCAAACCCATGTGAAAAAATTGTAGGCAGCAGCTGATGGATAGATGGGGCTAGGGGTTTTTACCGAAGCCGAAGTTGGGATATAGTAAAAGTTCCAGGAAATGAAAAACATCTGCTTCTAAATTTGTATTACACTGTAAAGTAAAATCATCAAATAAATCCGATACAATCCAACACTGATTTTCACAAAAAAATTAGGGCAAAATAAATTTCTTTTTTTAATAGCACAAACAATATCACACATAAAAGATAAACACTTACAATTCGAGAGGCAGTTGATATGTCCCAAATTTTACAATTGAGAGGTAGGAAATCTCTACCAAACCTTTACTTTAATACTCAACTACAATCTCGTGCATATCTCTAACACTAACCCTAAACGTATTAGTTTTATTTATGCTAAATAATAATAAATAACAAAAGTCTAAATTGTCCTTAGGCGCACGAAAGATAAAATTGTTATTAGACACTGGCATAACAATATTCCCCTTCCAAAAAAGACATCTTGTCTTCAACGTGGAAATAAGGAAACTGTTGCTGTATCAATTTGTCTTGCTCCAGCTCATAAACTGGTTGTAGTATGGTTCTCACTGTCAACATTTATA